AGAGTGGCAAATAACCTCAAGTGGAGTTACACAGAAGACTACTGTCGCCAGTCAGACATTAAAGTTAAATAAAACATCAAGCATTTTATAAGCTGACTTCGCATCCGGATAACCTACCAGGTCAGCCGTGTGGATCACCCGACAGAGACTAAACGATCAATACAATGTGGACTAGAGAAGGCCCTCCCACGCAGCCAAGCATACAGATATAGCGACACACAAGCTTGGGGTTTAAAGATAATATTAAATGAATATGAAAGTGATGATAAAGAACTAACTCCTCAAAAGTCTTTCAGGGCTCGAGTGTAGCTGCGGGCAGAGAGGAGGGGGGCCTTGGCCTGAGCTTTCCCTCGGTTTCAAAACCAAACAAAACCTCACAATACGCGCGTTTATACCCGGGTTTCCTCCTGCCCGAGCCCGCTGAAGCAAAAACGTCCCCCAACGCCTGCACCGGGGGGTTTTAAGCCACCAAGAGACGCCAAAAATATTCACCTTATTTGAGGATTGAAACTGAAAAGACGAGCCGCCAAATTTCCGGGGCGCAGAGAGGGAAGGATTTGAGCCTCGCCTCCCCGCCTGCTGGAAGGGGGGGGCGGGGGGCAGCAAAATAAGACCGCTAAAAACACCAACAAATCGACTTTTAAAATGCCCCCCAAAACTGATAGATTAAACCTCCCGCCGGGACCAAGATGTGTTAAAGAAAACTTTCCTCACAGCCCCCGTTTAAAGTCCGGTAAATCCCGAGACAACCGGCGAGGCCCTTGAGGCTATGAGGGAAGAGGGGGAAGCTACGCAGTCCAATTACGCAAACTGCTAAGAGCTAAAGGCCAACAAAATCAAACCAGAATACTTAAACCAGATATTAACCGCAGAATATTTACAGATATTAACCCAGATATTAACCCCGATGTGACCCTTAAAAACATCAGTTTATAAACAGCTCGGGTGTGCAAACTGCTGTAAAAACCCGGCAGGGAACTCTTTAAAGAGGGCAGCCCAAACAGAATGTTACACGCAGTAATACTCCAGTGTTTGTGGCAGATTGAACTCAGTTAAAGCCTCCACCCGATACTCTCCACAAAACCACACAATCTGGAGGACCACGTTACAGATTAAAAGCGGCGGTTAGGCAATGCATTAGGCAGTTGGAAACCGCTTTAAAATACAGGACAAAATGAGAGTTAACGATGTGCGCTGCAGTCACCTCCCTGTTTTTCCAGGTCTTAAATCCACCAAAAACACTTAACTGCGTTAAAGAAACAGTTCATTGACTTTTAGAATTAATCGAGCGGCCGAATAAGAAAAAAACCCCTGCGAAGCGCCCGCGGGAGCGGTTAAACAAAGTGATAATAAGCGGTATCGATTGATGTGCCCCGGTGCTGCTCGCCGGCTCGGCATCCCGGTGGCTCTCCCGGTGGCCGGTACTCCGCGGCTGGCTCGCCTTACAACTCCTCCCGCTGCTTCGGTCAGCGAATGAATGAACGCATCAGGCATGTGGCGCCGCGCAATCCCTTAATACGCATAGTCTTGCCGCCTGCCTACTGACCGCATGACCTTCCCCGGTTTAAGCAGAAAACGCGCTAAATTGTTTCAAATGTGACCAGGGACCATTGTTTTCCCAGCAAACAACGGAATCGATCAAGGACCCGATTCCCGATTCACTCGTTTTCATGGGTTTAATTGGTTTTATCAAGAGGCGCGGCCGGGAAACCCGCCGTTAAAGCGGGTCATTTGCCTGCCGTTTAACGGGAAGCCCTTGCGTTTACAAAGCATTCTAAGGCGGACCGTCCACCCCGTACGGAAATTTTTGTTGACGTGAAACAGCGTTTCCGTTGGTTCGCGGTTGAACTGTAACGGCTCGCGCCGGAACGCCGACCGATCTCACCCGTGTGACGCGTACTCGGAAAACGAGCCCGGTAAAGTTTACTGGCCGCCGCGGGTTTATTTAACCAGTTTGTTTTCCGCCGGCGAATCCGAACAACTTTCGCGCGATCGAGTCCCACGCCTGTGGGCTGGGCCTCGTGACGTCGAGCCTGGAGAAGCGAGGAAAAGCCGGAGCGCGCGTGCTCCCCTCCGCCAAGATGTACATACAGAAAGAGCACGTGGGGCCTCCTGTCAAATAAACGCTTCTTTTTTAATGCTCTTTTAATTTCATTATTAATTAATAACAGTTTATATATTAACAATATTACAATTAATTTAAATCTATAATTATTTAATTATTTTATGAATAAATATAATAATTACATTTTAAATACATATTTATATTATTATAATGAATTAGTATTATTTATACATAATATTATATAAACATAATTATATAACCATTATTATTAAATATAATATTTTATCCCCTACACCAGATGTATACAACAGAGACATATAAATATTATAAATGTACATACTCTTATAGACGGGGTATGCGTCTCCGGGTGTTTATGCGTGGAATAACTTCCACATTCATACTGACTGCCGCAGGCAAAAATATGGTGTTCTACCCTTCCCCTAACATATTTAAAATAAGGTTAATATTAATCGCTTTTGTATCCCCCTCCCAAGTTATTTTGTAAAGATACTACATAGGACATTGATGTAACATTGCTCATTTATGTCATCATTTATTTGGGCTTGTAGCCTCCATTTCTTGTTTCTTTGAAAAAAGATTTTGTGCCTTTTATATTCCAAAGTAATAATCGGTTTTGATTTGACCCTTTTAAATAAATACTTTATTAATATCATCAATTTGATCCTTCTTCAACATCACATAAAACTAATACTATCCCAATTCATAAACTTCTTTTTGTTTTATCATGAAAGTAAAATCAGACAATAACATTACATAATCTCCATACTTTATTAACTCGTACATTTATAATTAACATTTATATCTGTCCCTGTCTTGGCGTTGTCTGTTCATCAACTGTTTGTAAAAATTAAAAGCTTTAAAAACAAAAGGAAAATACTCCGCTGCAGACATGTTGTTTAATATAAACAATTTTTAACCTTAGACTTTAATAAGTAAGTTGCACTATACACTAACACAGTAGTGCACGTGTATGTGTACCAGTTAGCACTTGTCCTTTTACAGCTGCAGTAATTTAAACCTATAAAATAAACACAACTTTGTCATATTTGCTGGAATTGTCAACTTATCCCTGAACAGTAAGTCAATGAGACAGCGATTAATCTGTGAAAAACCAACGCGGCTTCCTCTGGTTTATCCTCCTGGTTCTCCCTCACAACGGCCCGTTATACGAGTCACCGGAACGCAGAACAACATCAGAGTCAACCCGTTCTTTGTCGTCATTTGTCAGTTCTACACTTTATTATCCTCAGTCATTCGTACCACATAATTCTTAAATTGTATTAATAATGGTCCTTAAGACTCCAGACTTCAAGGTATTTAATCTATTTTTCTATATATATGATATATGTCTGATATTGTAATCAATATACCATACTTTATAACGTTCTATATATATATATTAAACCATAGATAAAGAATCAAGATTTCCGCTAAAACACATGAGGCCTCCCCCAATTTACCAAAGTTTTCTTAAGAAATACATCTATCATTAGATGTAATATTGAACTCAATTTTGCTCCAACCCAAGCCAGTGTTGTTTTGTCCGTTCCCTGGGGCTACTCCGTAAAGAAACCAATGGGGTTGGACTTCGCAGTGTCTGTAGATCAAAAACGATGAAAAACCCCAAATAGCCATGCATCTATAAACAGGTGACACTCTGCTAAAAAATAAATACAAAACACCTCAGGCTTAAATTTAACCAACCGGCCAGGAGGGTGCTGTTATTATATAATTTTATCTATTTAATGGGAATTGAAAAAGTAAATAAAGAACTGCTAATAAAGTCCATTAATCTGTGGAAAAATTTACAGAAAATTATTGGCTGTTACGCACCTGAATCAAAACCTGGTATTTTGGACGGTTTACCAAATGCCATTATACCACTGAATAAAACACAGTTTAATCAACGTTTCTGGTGAAAACAACTTCTAATTATACAAAATATCTGTCAACTACACAACAAATCCATAATTAAGATTAGCACACCAATCTTTTTACTGTCACTAATTTTATAAAAAAAGTTTTAACAGTATTAACAGACCTTGAAACTTTAAAGCAGTTGAATCTAATTAAAAGTACAAAACACGGGTAATACTGATGAAAGTATAGATTTTCAAAAATTTATATTAACAAACTCTACTGTGGAAAAAAACTTTTTCTTTAAAAAAGACTATAATTTGTGGATTATTGTAGGCAGTTAGACTTTGTTTAATTTACATCAGACATTTAAATTCCAAGGCATTTTTGTAAATTTTATTAATATCTCCATCCCTATTTAAGAATACAGAAAACATAGAACAAAACTGTAATATTCTGGGAGCTAAATCATTATGAGTAATAAGTACTGCAACCAAAGTCAAGGAATAATGGTCTCTGAAATTTACTACTTATAAGTGGCTTAAAAACTTCCCATTCTGAAGACTTCAAAACAACCAAAGCTGATAAGAGCCGTGTTGTGTTACTTTATTATCTGCGTCTCCTCCCCTCCAGTTCGACCTGCCGTCTTTAAAAACTCTTTTTAGTTTTCAGTAAAACCTTTTGACGTTGAGACGTTTGAGTCTCCTGTAGTGAGGCGTCACTTTGTTATATGCCTGATATTATTTATTATTTTTATCACAGTTTTGCGTCTCTTTGTCGTTCCTCACAGCAGCTGGAGCTCGTTCTTACATCAGGTTTATATCTTTAAATCTTTGAGTCTGAATGAAGCCGGTTAGAGACTCAGGAGAGCAGTACCTTCTTTTCACCACAGGGTGTCGCCATTTAGCTGTTTAAAGGAGGACCTGGTTTAACAAAGTTGCTTTACAATACAGACAATTAAAATCATAATGTAAGAGCCAATAATTAAAACTGTAAAATTACTCCACATTTAAAGTCTTAATCTGCTCGTCTGAACTGTTTTGTTGTTTATTTGCAGAAGTGTTGGTCGGAGGACGGAGCGAGTCCGTGCGTCCTCATCGAAACCCCCCACAAAGAGCTGGAGCCTTCAGATCCATCCAGCTTCAAGCAGTACAGATTCAAGAACCTCTTCATCAAGGCCTCCCCCATCCCTCGACTCAGGTAACTGT